CCGCTTGAGGGTAGTCCAGAAGGAAGAAGCCACTTTGCTTGAGTATGGTACCTCTTCTTCGTCTGAGAACCAGCCCATGGTGTTTTTGGCTGGCACTGACACCACAGAAGTGCCAGCTGGCATGGCTACTACTACCCAAGTGACAGAGAGGTGGCCTTTAATTACTTTTCAGTAGAGACCTGGCTTTTTCCAGTGAACAGAATACAACACCTAATCTCTGTACACTGTCCTTGCAAACCAGATCATTGTCCTTCCGTCAGAAAGACCTGCACACTATTGAAAAAAAATTAATATGGCACTACTGTAAAGCATTTGCTTGTAATCCTGAAGAGATAACACTATAAAAAAGCAAAAGCAGGGAAAGTCCTGTACATTTTCATCATGCTGAACTCCAGAATATTTTTTCTTTACTCTTCTTGTTTTTTCAAGTGGGGAGATTCTAGCAAAGTGGCTCTAGCAACCTGGAGGTTTCCACAGAGACGCACTGGAAAAGCAGCTGTCTGATCCCCATTCATTATTGATGGGGGTTTTCACTTGCCCACAGGAATAGCAGTGAGAGGAAGCAAGGTCAATACTAAGAAGCAGAAGATGAACCACTTTCCATTAAGCTCCAGCACTAAGAGCTTCTCAGGGATGTAGAGGCCTCAGCCTTCTCTGGGCAATTTCCTCCATGACATAAGGGTGAAGCAGAAAACAATATTCTCTGCTTCGTCTCCCATCACATTGTTATCCTCTTACTTCTTTGGTTCCACATGCTTTTCACAGCACTTGCCTTCACAGTGTGACAGCAATACAGAGCCTCAATAGAGACATAAACACAGTGAGAACAAGTGTCTTCCTCCTCCAGGTGCAGAGAATGGATCGGATGCAAGGTCATGGGCAGGTGGCTGGTAGAACCCTCCTAAAATCTGGCCTAAGTCACAAGTGAAGAAAGCAGTTGCCAGTGGTATCATGACAGGATTAATGGCCACACTACCTGTACCAGGAGATACGAAGCCACTCTCTGAGCTGCCTGGCATCAGCTATCAGGCACAGCCCTACATCCCTGCTTCCTCCTGCTGCTGGAGGAGGGATGGCAGCTGTTCAGGTGTGGAAAGAGAGGAAGGGTCATTGCTGCTCTTAACCTCAGCAACCGGGACAGAGCACATCACTTTTAGCATTAACTTTTCTCTGTGGATGGGTATCTACCAGATGTGTCCAGCAGCCTGGGCTGTAAGACAGGCACAGAGTCACACATGTCCTGGACACCTCCTCCAATACGTGCAAGGGAGCTTAGGCTGGAAACATACCTGTTATGCAGGGGGATGGTCAGGACTGACAGCACCATCCATCAAAGCCTGTACTAACACAGCAGAAGTGAATACCCTGTCAGCCACCTGAAGATACAATCATCCTTCTGGGGTTGAATTGGAGTAGCTCCTTGGCCTGGGTTATTTGCTGCATCTGCAATGCCCCTCCCTCTCCCCTGCCCTGCATTGATTTCTCTCTGAGCTAAAGTGCTCTTTCATGTCTGCAAGGCAAATGGTTGTGTGTCTTCTTACTAGAGCAGAAAATAGATTGTGTGCAGACTTTGGAGATGAGGAGTTTAAAGTGGGAATCTCCCTATGGGCTATGCTGACACAAACTGTAGCAGCAAATGTGAAGGGCCCTTTCCTCTCTTCTCTCTTTCTTCCAAGATGCTGCAGAACCTTCCATTGCTCTCCCTTTCTGTCAGTTCTGCCAAATTCCCGTCTCTCGGCTGTCACTTTGGTGCTTAACCCACAGCAAGCAGACCAAGAAAAACTGGATCACAATCCTTGACACTTGCTAGTAGACTCCATAACTTGCCCAAACCCAGATACTTTCTCACCAAGCACTAAAGGCTCCTTTGCACTTTGTGTGTCTGCCTGCATACACATCATCAAGTTCCACTATCCTGAGCATCTGGATTTCTGAGGTAAAAAAAAGAAAAGAAAACCCTTGGATTTAAGCTTTGCTCACTTAAGAATAGCAGGCTCTTGCAGATAAATTATGACTGCGATTCCCCCTAAACCTCACACACCCAGGGTGAGGACCTGAATTTCCTGACCTCCCCACTTCCTGCAGAAGGACAAAGTCTGTCTCATTAGAGAATTCTATTTTGTTTTAGTGGTTTTCACTTTTCCCTCCACAAAAGAATTTTAATTTTAATTTTAATTTTAATTCTGCTCAGTTTTATGTGCCTTTTCCCAGATACTGTGCTCTTACACTCTAGTAATCCCCCAAGCTTTAGCTTGCATGTGTTAGTGTGCACACTAAGCATAACTCCCAAAGCAGGACAACTGGGTCAGGCCACAAGTATTTAGTGCTCAGCTGGATGTCCTCAGCACATCTGCATGAGTGAAAATCAGAGCCTGTGCCTCACTTATTTTCTGCTCCCTTTTCACTTCATTTGCACCTTGAGGTTCTCAACCCCTCAGATGGAGAAGGAGTATTAGAAGCAGCAACAACTAGTGAGAGGTCAGCTCAGTGCTTCCAAAAGCAACAGTGCTGAGTTACCCTAGGGAGCTGCCCTGGATAAAGTCTGAGCACAGTTGCCAAAGACCTCCAGAGAAATCAGCATCTCTGCAGTGCAGCCTCCTGGGTAGGTCTTTGTTCCAGACACAGCGTGAGGCAGAAGTACCAGACAAAGTGGCTTTCCCCTCATCCTTATCCTCCTTCACATCTCATAGGCAATGAGTGGATGGTGGCCTGTCCCTACCTCCTGCAGCGTGTTTGGAGTAACCTGCAATAGAACCTGATTTCCCACAGAAAAAGTGGTGATACAGGCTCCAGGCTATAACTCTGGGGAGGTCAATGCTGCAATACAAACGAGGTGCTTAGCGTGGATGGGCTAACTTGAAACATCCCTACACAGGTTCATGCAGCAAGGCTGCCCCAGGGAGTAGGAGACTCTGCTGTCCTGGATGGAGCAAACAACCAGGTCTTCCCTAAGAAGGAGGTGGTCAGACCCTGGAATATTTTGTCAAAGGCTGCAAAATGCTGTAAAATCTTTCTGGGGACACTTGCAGGAACAGAAAGAAAGAGGAAGATGAAGTGGGTTGATTTCACACCTGCATACTGCAGAGCTTGGACCCACATTGGGAAATGGGTGCTGCAGCCTGCAAGAAGAGAGGGTAGGAATTGGGAGAGGACAGACGGAGGGTAAGGGGTTACCTTTGTAGGAGGGCTCTGCTGTCCACCCAAGAGGCTCAAACAAAGCAAGGAAGCAAAGATCTGGCACTGTGCACATGAGGGGCTCTGCAATTGCAACTGAAGCAGGGCAAAACATAAGACTGCAGCTCTCTCAAGGCAGTCTCTCAGCAGTTGGATTTGGATCAGTGGGAAATTTCCCCAGCAAAAGGGGAAGTTTCTGTCCTCCCTCCAGTGAGGGGAAGTCTGAGCTCCTCCCTCCTCAAAGGAGAGAGCATATTTGCATATAATGTCCATATGGCTTTAGGGGTCCTGCTCCAACCCAGAAGCTCATACTCACTGCAGCAATACAGGTACCAGACTGAGAACAAAAACTGAGTCACATTTCCCCTCCAACAGCCCAGCAACCCCTGGGAACCATTTCCCATGGCATAATTTCAAGTACAGCTTGGGTTTTATGCCCTCTGGCTAGGATCAACTAACATATTTACAGATACTCACATAGCTGAGAGACTTAAAATAATTGTCACAAGGTCAATAAGCTGGTGCAATGTAATCTAAACCAAGTGCAGTGTTCTTCAGAAGTGAAGAAAGGAGACCAAACAGTACACCTTGCACCTTCCCACCATTTCTATAAATTATTGTCACTTCCAGAAGCAAGTATGTTAGAGATATCTGATTAATTTGCCATAGACTTTAATGTTGTGGGATAATATGAAAGCCTTTTCTTTCTCTTTACTTATGCTAAAGAAGAAACTTACCCAAGGCACCGCTCCTAGCTTGAGTAAGCAAGACAGTACTTGCATGACCTCTAAGTCTGAGACAGGATAGTCCCTCCGGGCACACAGAGTATCCCAGGGACAGCCACTGCTGTATCAGGAGATGTTGCTTCCCTAAAATACAGCTGGCTTGAGCACACTGGGGTGCAGACCAGGAGAAAAAGGCACCTGTTTATGCATTTGCTGGAGTGAGAGGAGCAAAGTAAAAACTTCAGGGAAAGTAACACGTTACTGCTTTTGTGTGACCACTCAGTGTCACAGAAGGGGATGGACGGATGGATGGATGGGGCAGCAAGCTGGGATGGCCACTCAGCTCAGCAGCCCCACACTGAAAGCAGAGGTTTGATTTGGTCTAATTTACCTGCTTCAGCCACACGTTGGTCGTCATCAGCTGATTCTTCTCATCCTAGGGGGACAAAAGGTAGAGAAGATTGCAATACCAAAATAGCCAGCAAAAACAGACCCTATGCCTGCTGATTTCAACCCTGTACTGAGCAGAGGAGATCCATATGGTCCTGTTTTTCATGGGCCTGGGCACTTCAAGTCACTGTTGGGGAAGTGAGCTGACTTTCTAGGAGCTGTACCTGCTTTTGCTGGGAGCTCCTGGGGCTAGAAAATGGAGATGTAGCATTTCACAGCAGCTCGAAGGAATCAGATGCCAAAGAGCAGTAAGGCAAAGAGCAGCAAGTGGGCTCAGGACACGCATGGTTGTGGGCTCATCTCCCTACACTGCTTAGCCTGGAGTGAGTTTGGGAAGACACAAACTGAAATATTGTCCTGAATAATAAGTAAAGCACAAAATTAGAATCTGCCTTCCACAGTACAAGGAGACTCTGCCAAGGGCTGAGGAATGCAAGGGACACACTGTTGGTTGTGCAGGTACCTCTGGGTCCTATGCAAATTACACTGTGCATTGCAGGGAAGGGAAGGGAAGGGAAGGGAAGGGAAGGGAAGGGAAGGGAAGGGAAGGGAAGGGAAGGGAATCTTGCCAGGGTCCAGGGTTGAAGCGTATTCCATTGCATCCATTACTGATAGACGATAGTGAAGGGAAGGGAAGGGAAGGGAAGGGAAGGGAAGGGAATCTTTCCACATGGGCAAAAACATGAGATTGTCTGTTTTGTCTCTAATGCCTTATCTGAGTGGTCAGCTGAGTCAAAATAGGAACTGCCTTTGCCTGGATACAAACTTGCTTAGAGTGAACAGTGTCCAACCAGCTCTGCTTTTCCTCACTCCCCTGTCCTGTAGCTTATAAACTGCAAGTGTAGGTGCCAGGAACTGTCTGACATGGACTTTTTTATTAATAACTGACACAGTGAGGCCTTATTCACTGAGAACAATGGGGAAAAAAGGACCTTCAGGTCTTTTTGCCACCAGACAAGTGAGTGTTACAGCCCGTGCTGTGCATGGGGCAGGAGGTCACATCACCAGCACTGCATCGCACTCAGCATTTTGTTGCCTGACCATCACTTTGCATTTCAAGTGTCAGGAGGCAAAAGCCAACAGCATCACCAGCCCTCCCAGGTGGATGCACAATTGTCTATAAAAGAAGGAAAGTTTTACCAAGACCAACACAACACTTACTACATCCACAAGCTGTGATATCTTTAATCCAAAAAGGACTTTGATAGTGTCATTGGAGTTTTCCACAGGGCGGACCCATTTCTCATAGCCTTGAAATAAGTGCTTGAGGAGCGCATCCTCGTTTTCAGCGATAGAACTGAAGGCAGTCACATCTGGAAGAGAGCAACAGAATGGGGACGTGCTAGAAAGCAGATGTGGAGAACAGCACGACCTGAAGAAGTGAGGTAGAGCAATGATGTAAGACAAATTCTCCTCTAGGCAGCTCTTACCAGTAAAATCTGTAGGAATTTACATGCACAGACTCTCAGCAGATCCAGGGTGAGAGAAGGGGAAGGCAAGACAGCCCAAGACTAACTCACGCACAAACAAATGGTAACTTTGTACTAGGTCTCTGTTTTCCATGGCCTTTTTGTCTTGGGTCAATGTAATTGCCCAGTCTTTATTGTTTCTTGTTCTTTAGAAGATCTGCAAGCTCAGAGCATTGGGTGCTCTCTTTCACTCTTGAGTCAGGGTGGGGGTCAGTGGGGATGGGCAACAAGAAACAGAAGCAGCTCATCTGGCAGCAAGAGGAGCTGGATGATGGAGCCAGGGCCAGGCCTACCCACAACCAAGTACGGAGCCATCATGGTCTGTACCTGCAAGACTGGGACTCCCCTGGTCCTTGTCACCACGCTCCCCCTTCCCCCTGCTACCATGAAAGGGGAAGGGCAGTTCAGACCCTCCATCCTCTCCAAAATACTGATCCCACTCTCTATGGTGCTGAGCTCCTGGCATGACTGACATCTCTTCCCTTCTGCACACACACAGTGCCCAAGGAGAAGGATTTCACCTCTCTTCAAAGGCACTATGGAGGAAAAAGGATCTTGTGCTGATCAGCCCTGTGCCGCAGGGGTCACAGCCAATATTGCTGTTACAGCAGCCAAGGGGTACCTCCCAGGGTGCTGCCAGGGGCCCGTGCCCTGCCAAGCCCCTGTGTGAGCAGGACACATGTGCCTGGATTGCCAGCTATTAGCTGCAGGAGAGGTCTGCAGGCAGAGGGGTGCAGCTGAGGGATGGTGTGAGGACCAGGTGATGGGAGAGCCTTGGCAGGGCCACACAGATGAGGGGCTCACATACACTGTAGAGCAAACATCAGGGGTAAGGCAGCCCCCAGCAGGGTCCCTGTGCCATGAGGAGGGAAGAAAGGGCATCTGAGTTCAACAGTCCCTCCAGAAAGAAAACCAGAGACAGAGAGTAATGTTCTGCCACCTGCATGGAGGAAAAGGAGTGACCACCATCCATCCCTGTCCTCTTCCCCCAGCAGCTGCTGCCCATCTCCTGGGCAAGACAGGCTGTGGAGCCCCCTATCCCTCAACAGGGTCTATGTGAGGCCATGGGCAGGGGAAGACCCAGCAGG